GATTTCTCCCCTGGCCAGTCAGAAGTCTTAGGCAGAGAGAAAACACTCAATGTCAGGAAAATGAGTCTCTTTTTTCCTCAATATCTTAGCATTTTAACATGAGTTTCTCAAAAAGATGAGGAAAAAGACTCAAAGCATTTTAAACTGCTCAAGTATTTACACAGTAATTATGCCAGCATGCGAGAAAAAGAGAAAACTGAGTTTTTTCTAGTTATCATATCCAGCTTTCCCAGTTGCCCTTGGAAATGATCTCCAAGGCTATATGAACTCCCTTTCACAGCTAAAGAACCAGATTTTAAGAGCTTTCCCTAAAATAACATACCAGGTAATTTAGAGTGTGGACGTCAGACCACTTTGGTCACACTCCAAAGCAGATTGTCTTTCTATTCTACCTTTGTGTAAACTCTTGAAAGGTGTCGGTAAGTAAAGTGATATAATTTAACATTCGTTATCCTAAATTTTCTTACTCATCTGCACCACACTATCTCCAATCCTGCAATATTTGTAATTAAATCCTGATTCCAAGGTTAAAATCCAGTGTCTGGTTTTGCTCCATGAATTCTGCATTCTCCTCTCATCTGTCTCTTCCCCACAAAATATAGATGCCGAGAAAGAAAGCAACGAGGATGAACGCAGTTCCCTAACTGAAGCAGTCATTTTTCTACATGTTGGTCTGATTTATAGCACTGAATTTCTGACTGGCTCACTCTCTCTGGATTCTGAGGGATTACCTGGCTCTAAAGACTACAGGCTGCTTGCCTTAAACTCGTGCCCATAACCTGACACTCTGAGACACTGGAATGCTGTCTGTATCTTCTTGGCACTGGATCCTTCTCCCACTGGCCTGGCCAGACTCTTTCACCTGCATTCTTCCAGACCTGATTCATTGCTTACCCTTGAAGTTCTAGCTGAAGGAGATTAGAACATGCAACTCCAAAATATGCTGTTTTGGTATACTGATTAGTTTGAGCTGAAGGCACTTAGAAAACAGCAAATGCAACAAGAGGCTTGCTTTGAACTTCCCTCATCTGCCTAAAGACAGATTCTCCAAAAGGAACTTCATCATTACCATCAGTCACCTCCCTGAGAGTTTCATTAACCAAGGAAGATGAACTTTTATCACAGGAGAGGGAGGCTAGGAATTGACATCATGCCCAGGTAAACCTTCTCACAAGCTATCACTAATTGTCCCAAAGACTCATTCTTCTTTCCCCAAAATCATTCTGTCTCCCCTAAGTTGCCTACATTCCCCTTACGCTCTCCCCTATGAAGAGGGTATCTAAGCTCCTGAATCTCACTAGGTTTTTGGGTATTCACTTTTCTTTCCTGTGATGCCGCTTAGTTTATAATAAATTTGTAGACCTTTTCTCCTGTTAACCTGCCGTTGTGCGTTTATTTCATAGATTCACTTATCAAATGCTTAGAAGGAAAAGGGAGAGTCTTTACCCCTTTGCACGGTGTTTCTACAGTTCAGAGGTTACAAACAAAGGCCTCCAGACTTTAGACAGATAGTGTAAATGAATGAAGCTAAGCTGACCAACCGAAGTGCACTGGAGGATGACTGCTGGCCTCAGGGTCTAGAGAAGGAGGAAGCTACTACTGTGATATCTCTCCAGAATATAGACCCAGTGTTATAAGCTGCACTGATTTTTAAGAGAAGGTAGATATCCTGATTTTTTTATGTGAGATTGGTAACTAATTGGTATGGTCTAAATGTTTGTGCCCACTCCCAAATTCATATGTTGAAACATAACCCCCTGTGTGGTAGTATAAGGAGGTGGGGACTTTGGGAGGTGATTAGGTCACAAGGATGGAACCTTCGTGAATGGAATTAGTGCCCTTATAATAAAGACCCCAGAAAGCTAGCTCATCCTCCCACCATGCGAGGACACCATGAGAAGACAGCCGTCTATGAGGAAGCAGGTCCTCCCCAGACACTGAATCAGCCAGCACTTTGATCCTGGACTTCTCAGTCTCCTGAACTGGGAGACATAAATACTTGTCATTTATAAGACAGTTAATGGTATTTCTGTATGGTATTTTATAGCATCCCAAATAGACTAAGACACTAATCAAGTGGTATTTCAAAGTACTATGTGGACACACAATACAACCAGACATTCCCCACCGTGATTCAGCTTATGACTTCTGCCTCTGATAATTGCTCAGCCCTGCTTAGAAAGTATAATTCTCACCATTTTAAATACCTTACTTGCAAAAAGAGAGGTGGGACAGTGACATGGATTGGTGTTGGAGAATTAATGATGGAAAGCTTTGATAATCACATCAATGCATGACAAAAGTAATCTACCCAAAGTAGCACTGGGAGATAGTTCTCCATGTGTCTCTCATGTTTAAAGACACTAATAGCCTTTTTTTTTCAGATCATCTGTTCAAGAATATTTGTATAGCATGGGGATCCCCAACCCCCAGGCCATGAACTGGTACTGGTCTGTGGTCTGTTAGGAACCTCCTGGCACAGCAGGAGGTTAGCGGCAGGCAAGGGAGCATTACCACCTGAGCTCCGCCTCCTGGCAGATCAGCCATAAATTCTCACAGGAGCATGAACCCTATTGTGAACCATGCATGAAGGGATCTAGGCTGTATGCTCCATATGAGAACCTAATGCCTGATGATCTGAAGTGGAACAGTTCTATCTCAAAATCCACCCTATCAACCATCCATGGAAAAACTGTCTTCCATGAAATCAGTCCCTGGTGCCAAAATGGTTGAGGACTGCTGATCTAGCACACAGCCTTGGAGGATACAGATGGAGGTCCTCCCTGGAGCAACACATAGGAGTGCTAACGGTCTCTTACAGAATAGTCACATTTTCTAAGTTTAGTTTCCTCTTACATAATATAATCTTTTGCACTATTTGTGTTACTCTGAGAATTCTGGCTCAGGAAACCAGTGAAGATGCTAATACCCTGGTTATTGTTATTGCTGTAAGTAGTAAAGTCCTTGGTCTCTGACCCAGGTGTTTCATGAGTTTTCCTAGTATGCATAAAACATAATATAATATGTAAATATATATTATAAATATAAAGCTCCAAATGCAATAAAATCTCAGATTCTCTATAGTTCTTGACAACTTATATTTGTTTTTCCTTCTTTAAATTCTAGCTATAGTAGCTGCTCTAAAATGAATAGTCTAGAATCTTCTTCCATACTGTTTACCACATTTATCTGAATCAATATGTTTCTCCTTTGCTTTTGAAAGTAAAACAATGCCTTATTCTCCATCAAAACAGTCATGAACTTTCATCATTTCAAACAACTAAATCACTTTCTATCTCATTGTTTTTATCTATTTGAGGCCTTCATCTTCACCTTCAGACAATAGCTTGATGCTTACCAATAAAGCAGAATGACTAGTAGGTAGACTGTCAACCTATGTTGCCTAAGTTTCAAACTGTGTTTTTCTACCTATTGGTTGTATTACTCTGGACAAGTTATTCAATCAATACATGCCTCAGTTTTCTTATCTATAAAATGGGTATAGTAATAGTAATTAACTCTGAGAATTATCTGCAAATTAAATCAGTTTACACATTTAATGTTTTTAGAATAGTATGTGGTTTATAGCAAGAATGTAATACATGCCACCAACTATTATTCCATTGAATGTTTGCTGAAAAATTCTGTTATGTTCTGACTTTAAATGCAGGTTGTTTATGATTTACAGTTTATCATTGGCAAGCTGAATGATAATTTAGGGCTACAAATGTGCTTGGTCCTTTTGCAGTTCAAATCCTCAATATATTAGAAAAACATTTTTTATAAACTTTCCGTTTTGAAAAAACAAACACCTCATATCCCAGTCTACTACAAACGACATGAACCAAGCAACAACCCCTCTCCAGTCATAATGTAAATGTACAACTATACTACAAAGTTTATAACAAAATGTCATACAATTCATCCACCAATGACTGTGTTCACTCAGGATGCTTAAATATCATCACATAAATATTAGAAGTTCTCTTCACAGCCCTACAAAAAAAAGTCAACCACCAAATATTACTTGTCTGAAGCAATGTTTCCGTTGCTGTTTTCACTATGCTATGCCATTTCTCTTAATGGCCTCAAATAACATCCCTGATTTTCTAAGAGCTGTCCTTTCTATTTTTCTAAGCCTGTGAAAATTTAAAAAAACTTCCAAAGGGGTAAAGCAAAAGAGAAAAAGCTACAAAAATCTGGTTTGATTTTCCTACACTTTCCTCCCTCTCTATATCCAAGCAGTTAATCTCCTCTCAAACAGTACAATAGAGCAGCTAGACATAAAGAAAAGGAGATAAATTTGGCCAGCCAGTACATTGTTCTTGCTAATCTGGACCATTTACATAAGGGTTAGAAGGCTTGTTTTATCATTTAAACAGGCTTAAAAGCCTCTTTGCAAATGAGATTTAGTTCCTACAAAAGAATGAATTCTAGCTATTTGGTGAGTTTCTGCTAGACCAGCACTGGGAGCTGACTTGGCAGTAACTACAAGCTACTTCTTTGGCCACATACAGTATATGCAAAGATTGCTTCCAGCTGCCAAAACTGAAAAGCGTCAAGCTGATTAAATTCTTTCCAGGAGGTGAACAGGATGAAGGGCAGGTTAAGAGGTCAATAATATCAGATCTTAAACTGTACCTGGCCAAACTCTTCCTCTATGCAGGTGCTTTAAAAGTGGCTTTGAATGTTCAGAGCCCTTAAATCTTCTTTGAAAGAGAACAGAATGGCGGACAGAGAATGAAATTCAGAGACAGAAGACATAAAATAGTCTCAAGCTGTGAAGTGAAGACAATCTAAACTCTTTGATTCATTGTTGGTGTGAGTGGCATTGGGCACAGGATAAACTGCATAACTAACTCCCTTGCCAATATTAGCACAAAAGATCACTGGAATGAAAAGATGTTCTTAACACAGAAGAGTACAATCTTTGCATGAAAATCTTAGATTTTAAAAATCAAGATCATATTTATATATACTATACCTATTATGTCTTTTACCTGGCACACCTTGAACAGATGTTCAGTGTGACCTTGGCCTGAGGCTCAGCCGGGTAAGTAGGACGGCCTTGGTTAAATTTGCTCCCAGAAGGTACCAGGGTTGTTACTCCCTCCATTCTTAAATCATTAAGATCCTCTGTAACAACACAAACAATTACAGAGAAAAAAAATTAACTCTAGTGGAATTAAGGAGAAAAATTCATGTTTTCAAGTATCTGCCATTAGTTTGTTAAGCAAAACAATATATATCCCCTTTGCAAAAATCTAACTACATATATCAATTATTTTTCAAATTATTTCTAGACGTAGTTGGAGACAAATTATATGTGAAGATTTACAAGAGACAAAACGGTGAGAGACTGAATATATGGAGAGTGGGCAGAGCACTTATGACCACAGACCACTGACACACAACCTCTACCATACCCACCGGGTAAGCCAAACTATAACCTCTCCAGCAATCAGCCCCAGATGGTCAGGACTTGGTCAATGACTGCCAGCTCTCCTATTTTTTAACTTTGTTCTCAACTCAGAACCAACCACACAAAACTAAATATGTTTCAAAACCAATTGCATAAATCCTCTGCTTCTAATTAGTCTGCTTCCAGCTTCCCCATCAACAACCTCCAATCAAAATATAACTGACATCTTCCCCTTTTTCACTCTCAATGTTTGCTTTCTACCTTCACCTGGGAAGGACAACAGTAAACCTGAATAGTCATGCCCCAAAGGTTTACTGAAGCCCACTTCTATTTTTCCCAGGTCCTCAATCAAAAATGAAAAGACCTAAATTTTCTCTTGAGATTCAGCTATGTTACAATATGTATATGATCTCCCACTTCATTCAGAGAACAAGGAAGCTTGTAAAAAAGATTCCAATTACTTGCTCTCAGCTTTAGCACTAAAGATATATAAAGTTTCAAAAGATAAATCATAATTTTTACAAAAATCTAATTCATTATTGAAGGCATAATATATGTGAGGAGGAAAATCACTGTCTTCTGATGACTAAAGATCATAAAAACATCCTAGATCCTTCAAAAAACAATCAGGAGGATTGCATGTTTTAATCGGATATTACAAACGAGGGTCAAATAAATTGATCCTGAGATGGTGACAACTCAGTCTAAATCAAGAACCGGCCTTCTGGAATCTGAGGAAGGCTTGTCAACAGATTTCTTCCATAGGCATCCCAAGTGAAAGCCTTGTTGTCTACTTGTGCGTAAGCACTTAGGGTTTTAACACAACTTCATAAGAATCATCAAAAACTTATCACCTTGACCTGGTTACCAAGGCTTAGTCCTCTTGTCTAAGAGCCTAGGTGCCAATTCAAAACCTGGTGCTTCTGCAGAGCTAATTACAGACTCTCCTCTTGATCTCATGGTTCCTCATGCAATACAGACATTACTACTGCCTCTGAACACACAACACTTTTCAACCAGCATTAAACACTCATGAGAGATTGTTACTCTCTCCTTCTCACATTACTGTTCCACTAGAACACCCTATTTTTGCTACTCTCCTGCCCCTACCAGAAGAAGTGAACCCATGATTTTCTTACCTCAGGAAACTTTCTGCACTTCAGTATTTTTAAGAACTGCCATTGAAAACCCTGACCAAATATTATTTGTTGCTGGATCATATTTCAAAACTTGAAACTAGAGGTTATCAAGCAGAGTATGCTACCACTAATTTATGTGTCTGTGAGATGTAGTCCTCTATCGGAGGTAAAATTAGTCCAGATGGCGGAAATATTGTACGTACTTGAATTCGTTAACTGGACAAAGACCTCAGAGTAATATATATACAGGCACAATTTTTAAAAAAATACATGACTTTGGGGTGCTCTGGAAACAAAAGGTTTCTAACTCTGCTAGAACCTCCATCAAACAGAGAAGATGTTTAAAACACTTTTAGATACACTCCTGTTCCATACAGATGTAGTCATTACAAAGATCCAAGCTAATGAAAATATAAACAATATAGAAGCTAAAAGAAATGTTCTAACAGATTATTTTGCTAAAGAGGCAGCCTTAATCAAGGTTATGAACCTATCTAAAATTTTAGAGAATAAATCTCTGGAGTAATTATAAGATACCATTATAAAATATCAACATTTAGCCCCTGATTCTGAAAAAATAAATAAATAAATAAAATAAACAAACAAACAAAAACCAGTTCTAGCTTTGCTCCGATAATCTGTGGCATTTTTGGTGGAACCAGATGGCTTCAAATGAATACTAGTTAAATTCCTCCATGAAATGACTCATCATGGTACAGATAAACTGGTAACAATCTTAAATCTTCAGAGTAGACAGCTGACTCAAGACCTTCAGAGGGAGATAATGACCTCAGAGAGTAGACAGCTTCTCCCCACAATATTGGATCAAGATCTCTGGTGTAATTGCCATTTTGTTTTTTATCTACTTAATTACAATCATTCTTCTCATTTTCTAAAGACCCCTGATAGTCACCCACCCACCATGACTCTTTTTCTCCTTCATTTTATTCTTATTAAAATTTCCTATCAGAGCATAATCATTTTCTAACACTAATCTTGGATTATCCTAAATAGTAACCTTCAAGCTCATTGATTGCTGGATATGCTATCCCTCACGAAACTACCATAATCAAAAACCCTTGGAAAATTTCAGTCTCATCAAATGAGACCACAGGGAATTAAATCAAATGGCATTTCCACTTGAACTTACATGGATAAATCAACCTGTGATTTTGCTAATGTCCCTTTCACACACACACACACACACACACACACACACAAACCCTATTATTATAATCGATTAGTTAGAATCTATGTAATTATAAATTTGAATTCAACAACCTTCATAGGAAGAGGAACCAATTATTTGTCACTTGAAAGAGACTAATAGAGATTCACATGTGTAACCCAACTAATGAACAGCCTTGATCCCAACCTCAGGTCGTGAATAATTTCTTTTTTCTGGATCCATGTGTGTTCCTACCAGATACTAATTTCCTTGCATCTAGATAGCTAGTCCTGCTTGCTTTATGCACACATACGTCATGCACAATAAAAATAACATTACAAATCTTACCAGTACACAGACACCCTAATTCTATAGATCATCAAGGCTGGAAATTTTAACTCTGATGCAAGCTCCTAAATGAGGCTGTCCTTTAGGATTCAGGCACTTTACTTGGAGGAGTTACTGATTCATTGTTTATACAAACAACCAAAGCAGTTTCCAGCAATAGGAACCATGCAAACAGAAGACTGCAAGACATGTATCACTAATGGTGGCAGAAACTATAAGTGATACTACCTCTACCCTAGATGGAATACAGATCCATCTCAACTGTTGGCAAGATAGTTGAACAATCGAATTCTTCTGGATTTTTTTTTCACTAGTCATGGTGATATCTATACCATTGCTGATACTTCTTGCTATACTTGGATCAGTGAAACATGTATGGTAGAAAAGTCTACATGTCAGCTTGACAAAAGACTACTTGGTTCTCTAATTTTGGTCCTCATGACCTGTGAGATTTGTTCTTCTAGACTGGGTTGGACAATTCAAGTTCTTGGTTCTGAAGAACCAAGTCAGTCACCCCATTGGCTCTGAAGAACCAGGTCAATATTAAATTGACTTAAATTGTTTTTGTTTTTATCATAGTGTCCATGATGCTGGTACACTGAATTCCATATAGAGTCTTAAATGCTTGTATGTGGCCACTCTCTCATCAAATGATCGCAATGATGAGGCAACAAAAAAGATTAAGAAGATCTCGTGATACAATTGACTAAGGATACAAGTGAACAATCATCAAGCAGTGAAGCTCTGGATCCCTCATCTTACCTTTTAACCAACATCCTTTTGCCAAAAAAAGAGAGTAACCAAAGGAGGGGAGATTAAATATACATGCAGATAATAGGTGGATCTTTTATTTTTATTTATTTATTTATTTTTATTGAGAGAGAGTCTTGCTCTGTCACCCAGGTAAGAGTGCAGTGGTGTGATCTCGGCTCACTGCAACCTTCTCCTCCCAGGTTCAAGCAATTCTCCTGCCTCAGCCTTCTGAGTAGCTGGGATTACAAGCACATACCACCATGCCTGCATAATTTTTTCTATGTTTTTTAGTAGAGGCAGGGTTTCACTGTGTTAGCTGGGATGGTCTTGATCTCCTGACCTTGTGATCTGCCCGCCTCGGCCTCCCAAAGTGCTGGGATTACAGGTGTGAGCCACTGCGCTGGGCCAGATCATATGCAGCATTAGAACGCTGACCCACAACCTCTGCAGCCATTGGCTCAAAACATTCAGGACTTCATAAATAAAGATCAGTTTCCCTCGTTTCACCCCTATTTCCAACTCAGAACCAACTGAAGAAAGCTAAATGCGCTCGCAAAACCAACTGCATAAGATAGTCTGTTTCTAGTTAGCCCTTCTTCAGTTTTCCCATGCCAACAACTTCCAATCAGAACATATTCAAAGCCTTCCCTTTAAAAATTATTATTATAAAGTTTTCCTACTCCCCTGTATGCCTTTGGGTCTCTGGTAAATGCAAGTGATAGTGGCTGACTCCCATGCTATAACCAGCTCTGAATAAATAGATAAATATTCTCTGCTTGTTTTCATTTGTGTAGTCTTCATTTATTTCCACAATGGCAACCTTCAAATATCTAAAGGTTTGTCATAGAGAAGAGAGATATTAGAGTTCCCCCTGTGCCGGCAGAGAAGAAATGTGTGTAAGAGGAGAGTGTGTTTCTCATCAATATAACAACATTTTAACATTTACAGTTGCTCAAAGGCATACTGTACAGTGCTGTGTAGGAGATGTGATCACCCCATTCCTGGAAACGTTAAAAGCAGAGGCCGAATAATTGTTGATAGTGGGCAAATTAGAGTTTTGCAGAAGCATTGTGCTAAATGGTTTAATTCAAATCTAAGCTTCCCATACATTCTCATCATACTTCTATGATTTAGGATACATCAGTTAAAAAGAAGACATTGATTATGTAAAAGAAGAGTGTTTGTTTAAATGAAGCAATCACCTTTTGCGGGCCATTTTGTTATGAATTAGAACTAAAAGTTGCTTTCTCGATTTTTATCTTGGAGCCACAAAGCACACCACATTGACTTATTAACGTGTTTCATG